GTGGTTTTATGTGATTCCCTCCCAGAACGAGTATCTGGAGATCAACAGGATCCCTTCAGTGCTGAGCAGTGCTTAGCTCTCTTTATATCTCTGAGGAGAGACATGGGGTTGTGGGCTCTCAGGGATGTACGGATTGGGGTTTGAGCAGTTTTAGAAAAGAGGACAAGGACGGTTCTGAGGAACATTTGTCTCCTCTCAGAGACAACTAAGGAGGAGCTAGTCCCGCCTCTGCACAATCACCTTACAAATCCTCACTAACTGAAAGAGGATTTGCCTTAATAAAAGGGAGAGCTAGTAAGGGATGATGAATAATCTACAGACTCATCTACAGTGAGTTTGGAGATGTGGACCTGGAAGCTGCCTTTGGACTTGTGGTTACACCCAGGTCACCTTGTCCCCAGCCTCTCTGGAGTGCAGTCTCTTATCTGAAGTGGCAGTTTGGTGGGTGATCTCTAAGACCCAACCACACTGAATAGTCTAGCAATTGCTGAAGAGTGGGTAGCCTGTTTCCTATTCAAAGTCCTAACATGTTTGACCCCCTTTCCTCACGGATCCGAAATACAGCTCTAATCTCAGCCTGATACAGAGTCTGTCCTGAGCCCATCTGCATGGGCCTTTTTTTCCTTCTGTCTGCTCTAGGACTCTTTCTAGAAATAACCTTTATTATTCTCCAACCCACTGTAATCCATTGTTTTTCCTCAGTCGACATTTCAAATGAATTGGTGAATAGATGTTTCTGTATTATTCATAATATGGCTTCTTGTAATAAAAGATGTTCATAATACCCAGCATGCTCACATCCTCATAGGAGACATGGCTCTGCTCCCTCGCCATCCGTGATTGACCCATAAATGGAGGCCTCACCATTGACCTATGACCTATGTGGTTTGATAGGAACAGATAAACAGTGTAAACATGTTTCTTTCTGAGAATCTGAACTACAAGATGCAGAGTCTGTAGCTGACTGTAGCGTCGTTTCCCCTGGAAGCTCATGTAGACTCAGTGCCCAGAGTGGTTATTTTAGAAGCCAAGTCCAAAGTGACGAGTAATTAGAAAAGCCAGTCTGTCTCTCAAAGAGAACTTAGCTGGTGTGCAGAGAAAGACAGCAACAAGATTTACGAAAGCTCACTGAAGTGCAGAGACACAGAGAAGGGCCTGCCTCTCCAGTGACTTCCTGGGCCAGGCAGCTGGCAGAGTTTTATTTCCTATCCCTGCTTTGGAGAAGGTTTGCCTGTTCCCATAAAGCAAATCCTTTTCATTAAGGCATCTCGAGAAGGTCTTTGTTTTTCACAAGCAACAAAGCAGCCAGACTACAAAGCTGTCTCTCCTTTTCTTGCTCCAAGGAGCCAGAAGGATATCTGTTTTTAATTAAATTCTCAGTCTGAATTCTTGATGCTGAGACTCTGCCTAGCCCCACATAAGCCCATGGTTCAGGTCAGTGCACACCAGGCTTGCCAATGTCACCAGGAGGTCTGGTGCCAGAGCTTCCTGTCCCCTCAGCCTCTAACTTTGTAGCATCCATTTTGCCTCAATTAACAACCCATGTTTGGCACACAACCGGTCAGGAGTACCCATACAGACCTAGGGAAACTGTTGAGTGCTGTGAAAATAAACAAAGACCATTCAGATGAGAACAGAGGCTATTTAGCCAGAACTGGCTGCAGCCACCATCACCTGTGTTTGGCAGACACCCACAGCAGATGCACAGCGAGAAGGCTCTGCCGGGGAAGAGGGCTCAGTGTGCTCTGGTTGGAGGTTTTGGACCCGGGAGCCTGGGAATGAGCTGACTAGAAGCGGGGCATCATTTGTCATTGGTTTGGGAGCACACTGGGCTTTCTTAGAACAGTCCTGAGTTGAAAGAAGTAGCTAAGTGGGCCATCCTGAGCATGGCCTGACCCTTCTGGGTTGACTTGCTGAGAGGGTGTACCTGGCTTCATTCTCTAGTTGCTTCAGAGCTTGCGGGTCAGAATCTGTTGTCATTTATCGTCTGATCACTGCCCATTTGTGTATTCGGTCTCTCTATTTTTATTACACTGAGAGTTCTTAAGACCTTTGAAGGCAGGGATCATTGTCTTTGCTCCTCAACTATAATAGGATAAAGACAACAGTTTCTCTAGCTGCATGAATGCTATGACAAATAACCAGCACTAGCAAGTGAAGAGGTGGTTTTGTCCTGTGATGTTTCAGCTGGATGCGGTTGGGTCAGATCCTCAAAATCTCAAGTGTTTCACTTGATGCACCAGGGACACTGGTGGGGAGAGGAAAGAGGAAAGAGACCAGTGAGAAAGGACTCTAGATCTCATTGAAGAGGACTTTTACATTGAAAGATGACATGAGGAAGAAGGTGATGTTTGGCAGTGTTTATTGTAGTTGTTATCAGGTAACAGGATTATTTTCTATCTGATGGTGAACTGTACCTGCAGTTGTGGGCTTAGAGTGTGGTATGTCAGAGTGGAAAGAGGCATTCCTCAAGATTCCCCCACCCCTTTGGCAACGAAATCAGACACTTTTAGCACACATATTTTGGTGTCTATCCTGAGAAAGTTAAATTTAGCACATTTCCTGCTAGCCACTGAACCGGCATGACCTCCCAGGTCTGGGATTAGTCACAGCCCTTTAAGCCTGTCTGTGGAATCTCCCTTGGAATCTGAGAAGCCTTGAAGAGCTTGAACTGTCACTGTAAATCTTCTAACCCACCAGGAATGGTGCTGATTGAGCCATCTATACATCATGATTTCTTTGTCCTGGTCCTGGAAATGCTCTGGTCAGATGGGGTGTGTTGGGGTGGGGGTGGGGGGATTCATGCATCTGTGTGTGCAGCACTGGTGTGCCTCAGGGTCACCTTGCTGCACCTGTGCCTGGGACTACCTTCCCATTATGTTGGGTTTGGGAACATCAGGTCAGCCTGTTATGCAGCCTCCCAGAGATGTGGTTCTGGAACAAACAGGGTGAACTTTCAAGATTGTAGTGCCTCCTTCTCCACAAGGCTTTCTAGGTCAAGGTCAGGAGACACAGAAGCCCTCGTAACATCACTTGCTAACAATTCTTGCCTCTTTCTCCTCTGTGTCCACTAGCCACTGGTCGGTCAGTCCAAGCTACCAGTATCTCTGCCTGGACCACTACAGTAGCCTCAAAGCTCCCCAACATTCTCTATAGAGCAGTTGATTCAAAACTCAGGTGCGGTTCTGTTATGTTCCCCACCTCACTCTGCAATTATTTCTTCTCATGGCTTTTAGGACAAGCACATTGTTACCTTGGTAGAGGGCCCTCCACCCATCTCCCCAACCTCATCTCACAGCCACCAATTCTGCTAACAGCAGGGCTCATGCTTGCTGATCTCTCCACAGACATTCCCACTGTCTCCCCAGTTTGTCCTTTCTGCAGGCTTGCTGGTCGTTACTTCTAAGGGAGACCTCCAGCCTCTCAGGGACAGCCCTTTTCTGGTGCAAATTTATGTTAATTTATATCACTTGATTACACTAGCCTCTCTCAGTGGAGAGCAACTTCCCAGGAAGGCAGGGCCATGTCTCTTCCCTTTTGCAGCCTCAGCCCTTGGCAAGTAAGCTGGAAGTACCTGTCCTCTTCTCTGTATGGCAGTCAGGCAACCTTAATTGGAGAGTTTGTGATTGTACCCACGAGTTTCATAGATTGATTGACTGATTCATTCATTCATCATGACTTGAGCAGTATGTACCTTTTAGAGCTCTGGAATTCTGGGCCTGGCTGGAGTCAGCCAGCAAATAGGCACTGCTGGTAGTGACATGCCTCTTGGACACTTTGCAGTTCACACTTCTCTTGGCTCAATTAAAACAAAATTTTATTAAACATGAACTAGCTCTTGGACATGCTGCTTGTCCTTACGGGGCTATGGTCTGAGGGGAAAAGACAGATATTAAACAAGTGACTGTTAGTTTATGTTTAATGAAGGGGGCAGCTGAGTGTGCCATGGAGACATGGAAGAGGGGCCCCAAATCTAGTGTGGGGGATCTGAGGCAGGCTTCCCTGAGTAAGGAATATTAGGGTTGTAATCCAGAGGGGAGTTGGAGTTAGGAAACCGACTGTGTGAAGAGTTGTGTGGAGGCCCACTTGTTGTGACCTTGGGACAACAGTTGATGGGCAGTGGGGATTAGCCTGTTCCATTTAGTCACCCTTGCGACAGGGGCATTGTAACTGGGTGGTCTCTAGGAAAAGAGGAAGTTCCAGGTTCCCTGCCCCACCCAGAAGGAGGGTGGAGCTGAGCAGAGAAAAAGGAGAGAAGAGAAGGAATCTGGAGAAGGAAGCCAGGATGGAGAGCCAGAAGGAGACCTGAGGAAGCCACATGGAGCAGCAAGCATGTGATGAAAAAACCGGGCTTGTTTCCTGACCCTGGACTGGTGAAGGCAGATGTGGGTGAGAGACCTGTAGGAGGTGACTATGGCAGTGTTTATATTGATTTTGATTTTGCTCTTTTTCTCTCAGACTTGTCTGGCCATTTCTGACCCTTTTCCATGGGTCCCGGCCAGAAGGTGCTTTAGCCTTGTGGCGGGCTTTCAGGCCTTGCTTTGGAGCAACCCCTTTTGGGTGGACTTTTGCCCACGAGGGGATGGGTCACTTCAGGTGTTTGATTTAGAAGTTATATTCTTTGTGTTCCGTACTGTATACTCACTGTATTAAAGTCCCTTTTCATTAAAGTTTTATATGTTTTGTCTTAACGCAGTGGATGGCAGAACCCATTTAGAGCAGGCTGGTTTGGGGCTTCAGGGGTCCCCCTCTCTCCCTGTCCTTTAACAGCATGATCACACACACTCCACATCTATCCTCTGAGGCGCTGGCTGGGCAGGCCTGTGCTGACCTGGAGTTCAGGCGAAGACTAGAGGGTGAAGGCTGCGCTGAATGAGAGGAACTGGCGTGGAGCGGTGGCTCTCAGGTCCCTCTTTGGCTAACTCAGTATCACAGGGGCTGCTGCAAAGTCAGCACCATTCCCAGCACTTGTTGGAGCAATATTAAATATTATCACCACAGCAGTTTTTACTCATTTCTTTATTAATATAGAAAAGGAGCCCAAGGTAGCTGGACCAGTAGTACAAAGCACCAGGAGTTAATACTATTCTGGTGGAAGGGTTGGCTTTACAAAAGTGAAGGAGCAGACAGGAGCTGCCTGTCAGGGTCAGGCCCAGCCTACCACCCAGACCTCCGAGCAGCCCCTGGAACTGGCCGGGAGAGGCCAACAGGTGGTACAGGGGCGGGATGAGCTGGAGACCATGGGGACAGATGCGGGTTGGAGGGCCAGGCAGTGAGAACCATCCAGTGGTTGGTGAGGACAGAGAACTGCTGATTTGAGGCTCCCCACAGGATCACCAAGGGTCGGTGGAAAACCACCCCCTGCGGAAACTAGTGAGTGCAAGGAATCCATACAGCCTGGGTTGAAGGCCTTTTCCTTCTCTCTCCACCAGGGGCCACCTCTGCTCTATACTACAGGTGGGGCTTTAGGGCCCAAGGCACAGAAGGAAGCCCAGAGGGCTTTCAGGGGAAGTTAGAGGGGGCAGGAAGGAAGCACTTGGGTGTTCCCAGCTTAGGCAGCTAGGGATGAGAGGCAGGGCAGAACAGAAGCACCCCTGCCTAAAGGGACTGGAATGTGGGGTAGGGGGCTTATCCTCAGCCAGTGACCAGAAGCAGCCCCATGGCAATGGTGCCTGCCTGAGCCAAGGGGGTCTGCAACTAGCACTGGGTGCTAGACCTGGTTTAGCCTTAACTCTCCTGGAACAGAGCTGTGTCACCATGGGCCAGCCATGTCCCGCCCTAGCCTGTTCCCCAACCATCAACAAGGGCTCTGGCCATGTAAGGGACTCCGCAGGTCACGGCAGCTCCAGGCTTGCTCTTTATAGTTAAGTGAAACTGGTCCCAACCATTCACTGGGTGGAACTGGGATGGAATGGGTGATGGAGAAGGAAGATGTTCTAGCAAAGAACCCAACCCCACAAACTTCCAGAGCTTGGAAAGGCTGTTGGGAGGTGCTTCTCTGCTGAGGCAGAGGCTTCTCTCTACATAGGCAGGGAATGTGGCTCAGTGCAAGCCCTTCACAACCACCATCTGGGGACACTTGGCATGGAGAGAATGGGGTGGCATTACGCAACCCTTTATGTTCTTCCCCAGGGTGGGGAGCTCAAGGCTTCTTGTGGCTTCTGCCTCCAGCCCTTAGCACAGGCTCAGGAATATCCTTTTTCACTGTGGTCCTACCCTGGGGATGGCCCGAAACTCTGCCTGGCTGGCACATGTTAGTTGGTGAGGAAAGGACAGAGGGATGAGTAAGCAGACAGGAAGGTGAGAGCGACTCTCTGGCTTTCTCCTCTTCTGCTGGGGAGAGCAGCTCAATCAACCGAGTCACAGATCTCTTCCACCACAGCATTGAAGATGTGCGGCTGGTCTGCATAGACGTGGTGCGACGCACCCTCGATCTCCTGTGGAGAGAGCCCCGGCCCAGTGGGCTGCCCTTTATTCCTGTTACTGGAAATGTTTCCTCTTTCCTTAGACCCCCTCGCCTGTCACCCTGAGTACCTACCAGAAAAAACAGTCCACCTTTCTCCCTGCATCTTGGCACTTTCCTCTGAGAGCCACTGAATCCCAATATCCCATTCAACTTCTCCTGGGACCATTCACTGTGTCTTCCACACTTGCCCCGCCACTGACCTACTCACTTTCTGCACAGGCCCAGTACATGGGGAGCCATGGGTGGCCCCCAAACCAATCAACATAGTCATTAGCAAGTAAGGGTGAAGAGGGGTCCTCCCAGGAGGTGCAGTGGGTTACAGTGCAGCACCGTAAAGCTGTCCTCAGTCACTGCAGCACGAGTTCAATCCCTGGTCAGGGAGGTGACCTACATGGCGCAGCAGACCTCTCCTGTCTTGCCTGCTGCTCCCCTAAGCAGTGTGTTTCAGTAGATCTGCCTGTTCTATTCCCTACTCTATCTCTGATGAATCCTCTCACCTACTCTGCACCTCTGGCCTGTACCCCAGTTCTCCAGTTCTTGAATGCATAAATAAATAAATAAATAGGTAAGTGGGGAATGGGGAATAAAAGATAGAGAAGGAGTGTGGTGGAAGGCTTCACGGAAGCCTCTACCATTTACTCCACCGTTCGTGGCTCTGGTTTAGGGTGGGAATGACAGGGGGTCTGCAGAAGTGGCCTGGTGACCCTGGATATTGCCTTTTAGTTAAACTGGGCTATGCAGAAATAAGGGACCCCTAGTTAGGGTATTACAGAGTCAACCCTTTCAAATCCATGGCTCCATCTCTGTCCCTTCCTCTTTCCCCCACTTACTGATGACCTCCCTCTACCCCAAGGTCAATGACAGCTGACAACACGCGCTGGCAGTATGCACAGTGCTTCACCTCAACCCAGCCTTGGCCGGTCAACGTACCATGTCTCGGACATAGGACTCTGGCCGCTGCATCTTCACCTTTTTCCCCGTGCTCGTATCTATCCAGGTGTTGGCCCCATAGATCATGGTGATGGGCACATCTTTTCGAATCAAGTGAATTCGTTCCAACATGGGGCGCCGGGCCCAACCGAAGGACTCCATCATGGCTTTGAATGCTGTCTCTCCACTGAGGAAGCAACACAGAATGAGGCGGTTAATGGGATAAACCCTGCAGCACAAAGTGGCAACTTGCCGGGCTCCTCAGAGGCGGGGGCACCCTCTGCATCCTCTTTATGTCAGTGTCTGTCCCAGCACTGGGCTCATTAAATATTGGTATAGATTTCCTATCACAGAAGACAGGAAGGGGACACACTTTTGAAAAATCCCATAGCGCTGAGCATTGTCCAGGAATGCAATGGGTTATTACTTATTCGCCTACTTATGTGCCGCGCCCTGGTCTGAGTCACAACAAGACAGATTCAATGCCTACCTCCTACAGCACACAATTTATCTCATTTTAGGGAGGTGGGCATTAAATAAACATATGACTAATTATTGAACTTAATGTTTCCCCAGAATTCTGAAAGAGTGGTGGTGTGCTATAAGAAGACAAAGAAGAGGTGTAGCTTTCTTGGGGTGAGGAGGACAGGTGGTTCATCTGAGGTGGGTTCTGAAGAGTAAAGACCATAGCAGTTAAAAAGGGCTTCCTGGGCCCTCCCTGGTGGCGCAGCAGGTTAAAGCACTGCACTAAGCCACTTCCACATGAGTTCGATCCCCGCCTGCCCCGGAGGAGATCCACATGGCGTGGCAGACCTCTCCTGACCCACCCGCTGCTCCCCTCAGCAGTGTACTGCACTGATCTGCCTGTTCTGCTCCTCACTCTGTCTCTGGTGAATCCTCTCACCCTCCGCATCTCTGGCCTGTACCCCAGATCTGTGTAAATGAATAAATACATCTTTAAAAAAAAAAAAAAAAGGGCTTCCTTAGAAAACTCTGAAATGGCCCTCCCTGGTGCAGAGGTTAAAGTCTCAGTGCTATCAAACTATCACCCGCTACCGTGGCCTGAGTTCTATCCCTAGCCAAGGAGTGACCCACATGGCACAGCAGACCTCTCCTGTCTTATCCCCTGCTCCCCTCAGCAGTGTGTTTCAGTCTGCCTGTGCGGCGCCCCACTCTGTCTCAGTGAATCCTCTCACCACCCCCACATGTCTAGCCTAAACCTCAGTTCTCACATGCATAAATAAATAAAAAAGAAAAAAAGAAAGAAAACTGAAGTGAAACAAGTCTTGCCAGAACCCAGAAAGAACAGCAATTTGTGCTCTGTAGGAAGCAGTGGCTGTCGAGCTAATCTGCTTTGCTCCCTGGGGATTTCCTTTGGTGGAACTAACAGGCCGTGTCATGGGGTGATCATGCGAACCAGGACGGAAGCTGGCTTTCTGGACTGGCCTGAAGTTTCTGTGGGAGATAGGGGGAGCTGGGGGGACTCCCACCTACAAGGCTCAGCTAGCTCAGGTGTTTTATCCTCAGTCTTTGCACCACAGGTGAAAGGAGCCCAAGTTCTACACAGACCACTAGAAACAGTTTTTCCTAAAGACACTGCAGCCTGGTGGGAAAACCATGGATTCTGTATGCAGACAGACATGAACTCAAATACTGGCTATGTTTTCTTAGCAAGTCATGTAACCAGAATTTTCTCATCTACAGAATGGAGAGAATCATACCTGATTTATTATAGTCACTGTGAAAGTGAGAGTGAGCCCGCTGCCCTCCCCACCCACCCGATATTTTTTTTCTTTGTTGAAATCTCAAGGTTTCCAAGGGAATGTTTAAGAATTACAGCCAGTCTATTGGTGTTTCCACTTAGAGAAAGTGGTATAAAATTGAGTGAAAAAAACGAAGGAAGCGAACAGGGAGGTGTGTAAATTGGATAAAGAGGTCAACAGTGTGGTGATGGATGGGAACCAGAATTTTGGTGGACAACTTAACATAACATAGATGCTGATTTCTCAGGCTATATTTCTGAAACCTGTATGTTATAAACCAGTGTTACCTCAACTGAAATAAGGCTGAGTGATAGTGTGTGGGAGGAGAATTGGTTATCACTGATGTCAACTTAGCTACCTCCAGGACACAAATGAATTGCAAGATTATATATTCTGCAGCTCAGCCTGGGAGGCCACTCATTATACAGAATGAAGTCTGAGTCTGGGGAAAAGGCTCAGGGCCTCAATGGGCATGAGACTGGCACTGAGCCCAGTGTGGGGCTGAAAGAAGGGTGGCAGACAGGAAGCAGGGGCCCCCTGATGTGACTGCTGAGAGCCCTTCAATGAGCTGAGCACATGCAACATGTTGGGCAGACAGTTCCCACGCTGCTCCGCAGCCATGGGGGCGAGGCTAACGCTTGGCCAGGACTGAACTGCTGATCTCACCTCTGCTCAGCTCTGCACTCACAGTGGGTGACCTGGTCAGGCCTGCAATGCGGTGGGGCAGTTCTCCTGCGTCCAGTGACCTTGGCTCCCTGAGCTGCCTCACAGCAGTTGCCAGCGAGGCCTCTATAGAGGCGGTGCTGTTGCTGGCAGTGCGCCCTCTGGCCTCCTGGTATCAGCCACTCACAGAGAACTGCCTGAAGGAAGATTACCTCCCAGCCTCTGCCTGGCTGTTAGCTGCCAAGAATGCAGATCAGCAGACTGTGGGGTCTGCTGTGTGAACAGTGAGATATGAACTTCTTCCCTTGTTTGCTTTTATTAAAGTACTATCAGATATCATTTTTTCAGTTACTAAAAAAAAAGAGCTTTTATAACACTTTCCAGACTCTGGCCTGTCAGGCTAACTGCCTATCTCTAGGGAAGAATAAGGGTCTTCCTCCAGAGACTGAGCATGTTTCATTAATCTATTAGCTTCTCTATCCCTTTGTGCCCATCCCTGGGGGAACGCTTGGAAATGCTCCAAACTACTGAGGCTGACCATCCCCTAATGGAAAGAGAAGTTTGTGCTAGGAGTACAATACAGAATGATTCTGGGATATTCAGGACTTTTCTAGCAGCTGGGGTTTTAACACCCAACCCACACACCCTTAGATGGCTCTGGGAGCCACCCTCACCTGGGATTTTGAGCATTGCAATGGTAGATATATTCCGATATGGTATCATCTTCAAAGAAGTCCGCAAACTTGCGCTTGAAGTCTGGCCGGAATCGCTGCACCAGGCCAGGTCCTGGGAGGGGGACAGAAAAACACAGAGTAGCCAGTTAGGATGGAGGAAAGGAGCCTGGGTATGTTTTAACAACTTTAACCAAACATTATTTCTCCTGATAGGAGAAATTTCCCATCTCTCTACACAATAAGGGTTTGTTTGCCTTGTACATTTAACATCAGAGTGGCAGAGAGAGCGAGAAAGTCTACTGGGGAGCTCTGGGTGACTACAAATGAGGGTTAGTTGGTTACCAAAGAATTTGGGCAGCCTGATGTCACTGAAGAATCAGATTATTTTCAGCTCAATGAAGTCCCAAGATCTTTTTCCTCCAAGAATCACAGCCCCACAAAAGTTCATGTCAAGATACTTTTCTTTCATAGTGTGAGCTATGTTCTCTTTCTCTCCGAGTTCCCTGTGGCCTGTTAATCTTGTCATGGCAATCTTGTCATGGCAGTGCATGAAACCAGATAACCTCCCAAGAGCCCTTGCGTGTTCTGGGCTGTCACAGAATACGACGGGTGCAGAGGGTAGCGTGGCACTGGCATGCTCAGTTTCAGAGCATTCTGTTCTCTTCACCTTTCTTTATGGCACACACACAAGCAGTAGGGTGGCCAAAACAGACCGTAAAAGTTAAGCCTAAAGGGCAACTTCTCTCTCTCTCTCTCTCCCTCTTCTGACTTCCTCTATGTGTGAGAAGCAGGGGGTGTGAGGGAGGTGAGACGCGGCCAGAATCCCCTCCTCCGTGGCTGCAGCTAAAAAACCCAACAACACTGGCTATGATGCCTGTATGTAGGCCTGGCCAAATGCCAAATCCAGAGAAAAGGGAGGTTGGTTAGATCAGGGCTTCTCCCTGGAAAAAAGAGTCTGTTGGAGCCCACAGTGAGGGAAACTGGAAGGTCAGCCCGCTGTCCTTTCTCCCCACACTCCTAAATTCCTGTCTTCTGCTTAAACGCTCATTTTTCTCTTTTATCCAGAGACATTTTGTTTCTAAGTTCCTGGAGAAATAATTCTTATTTAGAATTAACTCAAAATTGGTTAGTGAGCACTGGTGCATGATAGGGAGTCACCAGACTTTTCCATGGAGGGGTCTGCTTTTCACTTCATCGAAGTGAAAAGCCCCCACAAAGGAAGGGTACTGGTAGTGTGAGGTCAGAGAGCTGGGGCCTGCTGCTATTCTGGCTGGCTGCCCCCAGCCTCCTCCTCTCCATTCACCCACAGAATTTGCTGACAGCTACTAAGTGGTGAGGATGTGGTACAGATAAGGACTGGAAAAGGCATGGTTCAGATTGCCCTGCCTCCCACAGTGGGTCCTGACTGCCATTTCTCTTGCAGGTGCTGGGTGAGCTGCAGGGCGGCAGGTGAGATCTAGCGGTGGTGGCCATGCTGAGTCACCAGTGGGTCGCCATACACTCACGCATGTAGTGTAAGAATTCAACAGGGAGAGAATCACTCAGGCTCCCTTCTCTCTTTTGGGGGTCTAGCCAAAGCACAGCATAGTAGTTCTGCTCCAGCTGTCCCCTGCAAAGGAAAGCTTTCTCCATGCAGACAAAAGAAACAAAGGACCTTCTGAAGCAGATGAGGAGCTCTGGTCCAGATTAAATAATACTAGGTCTTTTCCCAATTTTCATGCACATCCGGGGATGAAGGGAGTCCAGATGCAGGGGTGCTTCTAGAATGGGACAGCCTTGGCTTAAAAGATCATTTCTTCCTCTGCAGGTTACTCACCCCAGGGCCCAGCAACTCGAAGAACAGCCAGTGGATTGGAACGCCCTAGGACAGAGGCCACAGCCTTGACCCAGGTTGGGGGTGCACGGATCTCACTGGGGTCAGTTGGTCGGAGGGGGAAGCCCCATGGGTCCACCAGGATGAGGTGCTTAACTCTAAGGTAGGAAAAAAGAGAAGATAAATTATGTTCACATGGAGGATCATATCCCTTAAACCATCTTGAAAAAACTATCAGAGATAAATACTGGAATGATCCCAGCAAGACAAGGAGTTAGGGCAAAATCAAGAGGGTAGCACTTTCTTACCTTTCAGGGTATTTGATGGAATAAGAAGTTGCCAGGAATCCTCCCAAACTGTGCCCCAGGAGGATCATACTTGGGATGCCCATGGTCTCCCGCCACGTCTCTATTGAGGTCACAAACTCATCCTCAGCCCCCTCTGGGTCCCTCGGGAATGTTGGCCTTGAGCTCCGCCCAAAGCCAAGCAGATCAAAGGTATGCAGTGTGCGGCGGGCACTCAGTGAATCCATGTTGAGGATCCAGAGGCCCACACCGCCCCCGAAGCCATGCACCATCACCAGGGGAGTCCGGTCCCTTAGCTCGGGGCTCACGGTCACCGTCCAGATCTTGTTCTGGTTTGGAAGGGACACATATCGGGCCAGAAACTTGTTCTGGAGACCTGGAAAGAGGGGAATACATGGCAGATCAATTAAGACTGCTTTCTGACAGCACCATCATTTGGCTTGGATTCTTTAGTTCTCTTTCATTCCCAAGCCCTTCCTGATCACCCTCACCTCTTCCCTTTTACAACCCTCTGACCATACATACACCATAAGAATTCAACTTGCAGACCATCTAGATTGGAGGTAATAAGAGCCATCTTATTTCTTGATGCTGTTTGCTGGGTCCCACTGATCCCAGGCTAGCAGTGACCCCAGAGCTCCCATGTGTCCTCAGCTCTTGTGCCTGTATGTGCTAGGGGCTTGACAGGTAGACAGAATTCTCCTTGCTGAGGACAGCTGGGAGGTGGCTTCTGATTCAAGTCAAGCTAGGTGGAAGGGTGATGGGTGAGGACAGAGCCATGCTCACACTGGTGATCCCCATGATTTCCTGGCACATTCCATTGAAGCCACAAACCCTGGTCCCCTCTGGGCCCTCAGGAGTGCTTTACAGACACAGTGAGGTGGGCAGTGCTTGCTCTTTGGGCATGAAAGCAGTCTCATGAAATTACGGGTTCTGGAAGGAAGTGACATAGGGGATAAAAAGGAATCTGCCGCCTGGGGGAAGTCGCCCAGACCCTGGACAAAGGCTTGAAAGCTGTGGCTGTCCTGCAGCTCCTCTGACTTAGGCCCATAAGAGAAAGGGTAGACACGGTTGGGGCAGTAGGCGCAGGGTGGGGAAGAGCATATAGGAAGCATAGGGAGACATGGCCCAAGGGTGCAATTGGAGCCCGGGCCTCATGCTGCTGGAGGATGCGCTATCCCAGCATAACTGTCCATGAGGGCTGATCTGTGGGGATCCCAAACTGCTGGGGTAACCAGGTAAGTGCGGGGGCCTAACTGGGTAGCATAAGGAATAGTAATATTAAGAATCTAGGATTGCTGGTCTTTGGGTGGAAGGTGGCAAATCTTGTGTGGTTGGATGAAGAGAGGTGAAGAATATGGGGAGAGGAAGAAGGTGGGGAGAGAATGTGTGTATTTGTGTGTGTTGTGTGTTGACAGTTGTTCTCAGCACAGAGGCTATGGTGAAGAAGTTATAGGATCTTGAAGGAACTGACATGATACTCTAGGAGGAATACACTGAGGTTTCACTATCACAGAACACATTGTCCTCAGGGCAAATCTCCTTCCTAAATCACTGACGTCCCTGTTCTCATCCCGAGCACGATTAATCAGTAGTCGGTGGGCTCAGTGTGCCTGACTCTGGAAGATCCTGCCCCTCTCTGGGCCTCCTGTAACAGGAGGCAGGACAGGCCGTCCCTTCTACTTACACTGGAGGATCCTGGACTCCACATTCTTCAGCTGAGACATGGAAGTGGGGCGCCAAGCTGGCAGCCAGCTACTCAGCCAGCCTTGAGGCCTGGGACAGAGAGGAGACAATCATTGGCAACAAGGGAAACACTGATGTGCTCCGTCTCTGTCTCGCACAGAGTAACAAAAGCGTTATCAGTGCAGTGTGCTCAGGGGACCCTCGTAGTCAGCGAGTCCTCTGCCATTCTCCTGACACTGTTGCTCTTCTCTGGTCCGTAGCTGTTAACAACAAATGCCCTTTGTTTCAACAGATGCTCAGAACACGGCATTTACATTCTCAAGGCTCTTTCTCATTTACCATCTCTTCGGAGCTTTCCCACTCCCCACCGCTACTAGTTATCATAATGTTCAAGGACATCGTGAGGGGGGAGAAAAGATAAGTTTTAACTAATATTTCAGTTAGCTTTTGCCACCCCCAGGACTGGATGTTCTTTTAGGGTAAAAGAGACAAATTCCTATCCTGCCTGCCTTCCTGGCAGGAACTGGGGTTTGTGTGTGTGCTCTAACAAGTCCCTGGGAATACAAAGCACCATGCCAGTGCTTAGCTGGACTCTCTGGAAATTAAAGAATTCAGTCTCAAGCCACACAGGACAGGTAGGGAGCAGGAGGGAGGAGATCTGTGTTCAAGTCCTCCTGTGATTCACTGACAGGAGATGGGCTGCTCTGGTCTTTTTTCCAGATTATAAAGATTATTCCTATGACCAGAATAGAAAGCAGGCCTCCCTGGTGGCTCAAGGGATTGATCTACAGCACTATGATGCTATCTACAGCCACTGCAGCACAAGTTTGATCCCCAGCCAGGGAGCTGACCCACACGGCGCAGCAGACTTCTGTCTCTCTTGCTGCTCCCCTCAGCAGTGTGTCTCAGTGGATCTGCCTGTTCTGCTTCCCACTCTGTCTCTAGTGACTCCTCTTACTCCCTCCCCACACCTCTGGCCTCCCTGCTCCCCCAAACTCTTGTATGCATAAAAAAAAAAAAAAAAAGCTCATGTATGATGTATGTCTTCCCTGCTGGGGCCAGGTAGTAAAACAGCTAAGCTATCCTGTTTTCTTTCCCCTTCATATTCAGCAGAGTAGAGTTTGGAAGCACCAGCTTTGGAATAAAACAAAACAAAACCTGAGTCATAGTATTATCATTTATGAGTTGAATTACTGTGGCCTGTTACATAACCTGCCTGTAGGCGTCCAGCTATGTGAAGGACTTAGTAAGAGATCTATGGGTGAGTTTTTCTCATTCCCATCCCATATAGTACTTCTCTTATCTTGAAGTCTACCTGGGCAAAGGGGGTTACTGGAGAGGCTGTGAACACTGGCATGGTCAAACAGGGGCATTCTGTGGGTGAATGAGGGGACCCAAGCCCTTTGGCACATACTGGGTATTCTGATGCATCATTTGAAGCACAGAATTTAGATGAGGATGGCTCCTTAGAATCATTTAGTTCAGTCTCTTTATTTTACAGATGGGCAACTGATGCCCAGTGAAGTCAGACAGCTAGGTAGAAAAAGAACTGGAACTGGAACCCAGATCTCAAATCTAGATTTCTTTATCCTTCTTCCTAGATGTTCCAGCCTCAGTTTTTCAAGGTCTTATATGAATACATAGTATAAATCCCATTTCCATATTTGTCTCCCTTTTCTGAGGTGTGATGTAAAGTCAGAGGTCAGAGTTCTGATTCTAGCACTACCATTGAGCAGCCATATGACTTTGGACACATTTCCCTAGCTTTCCTGAGTCACTTTCCTTATCTTTAAAATTTAAAAGGGAGCTAATAACAGCATCAATATTATAGTGTGTTATCAAGATTAAATGAGCTAATGCATCCAAAACACATGAAAATTATGCCTAGCATAAGATAAGCTGCCAATAAATCTCCCTTTTCCCTAGGTAAGTTACAAGCTGTCTAGAGTCCCAGTGTGTTGCAAGTAGCAACTCTCTTATTTTGGCCTGAGGTTCGAAAGTGAATCTGAGGTTGCAGCTGAGAGCACTGCATCAATGACACCAGCCAGGTGAGAGCTGTCAGGCTCATCAATTCAATCAGATGGAGACTCTGAATAGTTTAATACTCAACTAGAATTTCTTAGAAGCTTGAAATATGGGCACCAAGACCAAACAATTTTGTGTTTTAAGAGACATAAAGTTAATTAGTTTTCTCTTCACTTCATAGAGACTGACTCGTCAGACCATGACATCTGAGCCCCACATTGCCCTGTATCTGCCCAAAGGACACTCAGGAGAAATGCTGGCCCCTGAAACAGCACCATGGGCTGCCCAGCAGGTTAACCCTAAGAGAGCGCTTTATTTGGCCTCTCAGTACCGAAACTGCTGCAGGCAAAGTGCTGGAAATAGTGGCTGGCACACAATTCCATACTACTGGGAGGGTGAGAACTGGGCTAGGAAGTAGAGTCAAGGAGCAACGTAGCCAATAACTTAGCCTGGCCAAGGTGGTCTCTTCCCTGCACAGCTCTTTCCTCCTAATAGGGTTCTGTGGCTGGGTCAGAAGTATGAACCTCTGCAATGTCCGGCCAGTCCTCTAACTTCTGGGGAATGGACTTTTTCATTTGTAAAAGGAAAGAGCTACCTGAATCTCTATGAGTTCCAATATTTCCCCCTAAGTCCTTCAAGTTGTTGTAAATATCTTGTTGAAAAATGACGTTAGAAAGTAGCATTCTTCAGGGCAATTCTTTCAAGCACAGGAAGCTATTCTTGTCATGAAGTTAGTTTTGCAAGCTGCCGGTCTTGCAGCTCGGAAGGAGGCACAGGGGTTCAGAAAGGCCCTGTTCTGAAGAAACCAAAGCTGGTCTGGGAGCTGAGTCATTCTTCTCTCAGCAACTTTTCCTGCCTTCTATCAGACTGAGAACTACTAGTCGCACAACCTACAGGTGGCATCCCAAACCTGAACCCCTGGAGGCCAGTGGCAACGAATCCCAAAAGCCCCACTTCTGTAACTGTAGCATTACGGACACAGTGATGAAGATTAGCTAGTTATGAACAAGGATCGCAAGCAGCTGCGTTTCTCAGTGGGCTAGATAGAGCCAAAGAAACTGTGACGCCCACTACTCCAGATCAACCCCAGCGCGGCGGAGTCCTCCGTCCCCCCATCCCTTTCCCTGCCTGACCACGGGAGGCTTTTCCTAGGCCGACTACCGCCCTGGAGTAAATCTACACCAGCAGACTTGAACGCCGTCCGCACGCCCGCGCCCCACAAGCTTGTTTCGGGGTATCTCCGTCATTACCACTGAATCTAAGCCGAGTACAGTGACTGCAGGAAAACGAGGGGGCGTTTGCCAAGACCGAAATGGAAAATCAAGCACGAGGCTGCCGGCGAGACTATCGCGCTCCGGGCATTGCCGCCTTCTCGTCTGAGCAAAAGCAAAGCAGCAAACGCAACCCTCGACCCTCCCCTGAAGCCGACCTGAAAGAGGAAAAGCAGGAAGGTGTCTAAAACTTCCTCAGCCACAGACAGTCCCAGGATCATGGCCCAGAGAAAGATAGAGAACAGAAAGAGACGGGATTAACTCACTGCTGCTCCAGATCATCAGCCATAGTAAACAAGCCCTGCCGGGTCGAGCCGAGCCAGCCCATCCCTCCGCCTGACGCCAGAACCAGCTGACCCAGAAAAGGGTCGGATAACAAAGTGGGGCGTGGCTAGCTCGGCCGCCCAGAGGAGAGGCGGGGCGCGGGTCCGCCCCCAAGAGCTCTGGACCCGGGCTGGGGTGGTGGGGACAAATTGCCGGCAAGGGTCCAGTTACCACCGGCGTTTCATGGAATAGGACAGTGACCCTGGTGGGGCCCTGAGGGAGTACTACTGAAAACGACCGACTGCCTCACCAGAGATCCCTCAGCTCTCCATTCTCTCATAATGAAAAAGGGCGAAAGTACACCTGCGCCCTGGCACACACCCTTCTCTGTCACAAGTCCCTCCCCGCTGAAGTTCTTCCCTTGGTGTCGCTTCTGTAGGCTTGAGATGTTCGAGGAGACCACACTCTGGTTAAATGCTTCTACAAAGGATCTGGGGTGGGGGCTTGGACTGCAAGTAGACGGCCAGGTTTCTCAAACAACAACAACAACCCAGGATACCTAGTTAAAATTGAATTTCAGGTAAACAAAATACTTTTTTTTTTAACAAAATACTTTTAAAGAATCAGTTTGTCTCCTGCAACATTCAATACATACTAGACATCCTGTATTTTATCTCGTATCACTAAGTCTGTGTGACACATGCCAAGATGCAGTTCCCCTGCCCTGGAGATTTCCCTACCAAGTTTCCAGGGAAGATGTGACTTAACGCCAGGCTTTTCCTCAGTTTGGAGAATACCCACCACCTCCACTCTCCTTAGGAAAGCAGTTGAAGAGCTAACCTCTGATCCAAGGCTGTGTCTGCTTTAGGTAGCTGGAATGGATGGGGAGCAGGGGTTGATGGTAACTGGTTTAGCTCAGAAGTCCTACACACAATTCTTACATGCTCAGTGGAGGAACCAAACCTTGAAACTGGCCCCAGAATTTACCTAAGCCGGTAAAACAGCCTGAAAGTCCCTGGTGCTGTCAGATTCTAGGTCATTCCCTTGCTTAGGTTAAAACCAGGGTGGTAGAGGATAGGTGGCAAAAATATTGGTGCAGAGGGTTTTGCCAAGATGTTTTTCTTCCAATGCCCTGCAGGACTCAGGGGATTCTGAGATCTTCTTTTTTCTTATAACATTGTAAAACTGCTTATCATTACAAAGTTTAATATTGGAAAATAGGCATTTATAGAGGTTATAGGCCAATGAGTTCATAAGATGTAGGTCAATTGACATGTGACATTATATTAGATTTAGGTGTAAAACATGAGGATTTGATATATATATATTATGAACTGATCACTCTAAGTCTAGTTAACATTCATCATCATACATAGTTGCAAATTGTTTTTCTTATGATGAAAACTTTTAAGATTTACTTTCTTAGCATTTTCAAATATACAATATTGTACTGTTAACTAGAGTACCCTGCTGTGTATTATCTCTCCAGGGCTTATTGGCTTATTTTTTTTTTAAGATTTATTTATTTTTTCATACAGAACTGGGGTACAGGCCAGAGATGCGGAGGGTGAGAG